GAATTGCAGCTAAACGAGCCTCCAAATAACTGGCCCATTCCATGTACTGTTGCTCGTCTGGTACAGAGCGTCGATACAAATGCTTCAGGGTGTTGGGTGCATCTCGTAGATGTGGCAAACAGCATGGAACGAGGATACAAGTTCGAAGTGTATCCAAACGCTCAAAGAGTTCAACTGCAAATACGCTGAGATTGCCACACAAGTGGAGACCAACTACAATGGTGGGGTAGCCAACTTCATCAATCCTTTCCCTCAATACCTGCAAAGCACCATTGTCCAGCAAGTCTTGCTGAAGGTATGAAACTGTCCGGATGCCTGCAGCAGCGTAGTGAGGAATTCCATCTGGGCTCACATAGTCAACAGCTGAAATCGACAAGTTTGGAGCTTGCGATGACACAATAGCGCTGGTGAGCGACTTGCCACAGCATAGGTCGATCAGATGCTAGTTATCATGCAGAACACTAGGGCATGCCTTCTCTATCTCTGCAAGAATGCAAAGAGATTCAGATAGCTCTTTGTGGAAGCTTCTTGACTTGTGGAAAGTGTGGAACTCAGGCCTCATGAGAGAGGCCCAGGTCGCATTCTTTCGAAAGAACTCTTGCAACAAGGGATTTTGATGTTGGCCTGCTCTATACCTGTCGGCTAAAGACGCAATCCTTGGTCTCCTCCCAACAGGAGCTCCACAACATGGACATCTTTGTTTAGCTGTTTCCTTGAGTTCCCTTTCGGCCAACTTCCTCAGCCTGGCGCCCAAGTCCCCTTCCCCCGCCAGCTCCGCGTAGTCCGCAGCGCTCCGCCCGCTACGGCTCACGGCCGCGACGTCCGCCGCCTGAATCCCAAGGCCAAAGTCCAAAATCCGCTCCACCAGGCGGGGCCAGCAGCGGCCAGCTGCACCAGCAGCTAACATCAGTGGAGTGCAGTCTCTGCGACGGGAGCGATGCTGCGGGAACGAGCTCCCGGAACGATTGAAATCATTCAGCAAATGCAGGGCCAACTGTTCGTCACCTTGCTCCAAAGCTGACAGCAAAGCAGCTGTCGGCCGAGGTATCTGACGCACGTGGGCTTCGTGCACACTTGGCAGTGCAAAGCACACGACGCATACGGTGCAAAGCACCACTACCGTGAGGCCGTAAGGAATAGCGCGCCTCTTCCGATGTCGTCCCTCACGCTTTCCCATGGCACAGGGCGCCTGGAGTGCCATTCGCCTTCGATTCGAGATCGAGGCTGCGGCACTCACAGCGACATCGTCCGAAAAAGCTGCTTGAGCTGAGCACCGTCAAAGACCCGAGTTCCAGGCTGCTGTGTAGAATCCTAGGAGAGTTTGGCCCCCTAGCCCAGTATGTTTAAGATGCGTTTCGCTCCCAACTACTCCCTCTCTCTCTCTCTCTCCCTCTCTCTCTCTCTCTGTGTCACAAAAAGGATCTGCAACCAGTGCAAAGTACTGAAATGTGCAGAATGTCACAGTAATTATGCATCAAAATCAAATAGCTGTGCTCATAAATCCGGGTCTACTGGATTTGCGAAGCGTCTAAATTTCTAAATTTAATAGAATCTGCACTCGGTATGACATCGTTTCAATACTATCTCTGCTGCTCTCGGGAAATGGCCATGCACGGAGATGCCGGAGATGCATTGCGAACCTCCGTGCTCGAGCTGAGTCTGGACATCCAAAGATGGACATGTCAACAGCCAAAGATGAAGCATGTCCCGGAAAACGTATGAAAACGACGCATGAAGGTTCAGGTTCTGAACCTTCACCATGCAAAGTGTGTCAGACCAGCTTGAAAGAGAATCTGCTTAGCATATCTACTTACCATGCTATAATAGTGCCTTGCTTGCATCAGGTCCTACAGAATGCGTTTGATGCAGATTAAGCTTGTCGTGATACAGTATCATCAGATGCCTGAAATAATGAACCCAAATAGCTCATGAGCTATATAAATAAACATAGTCAACCCAAATAGCATGTGGCTTTCATGTGCTCTGAGCCTGAATCATTTCCCAGCTCATTCTCCTCGCTTTGCTCATTACAGGGTGTGTATGTTCTGTGCACTTAGCCAAAGAGCAAGAAGAAAGTCACTCAGGTGTGCCTCGCATGAATTACTTTAATGCACGGCCACTCAACCCCGAAGTGTGTGTGCACCCTCTGCAGCAGACTTCCACGGGATTTGATACTGTAGCATGCCAACTGCAAGTCAGTGTATGTACATTGTGCATGTCCGCCTGACGCAAAACTCAATGACATCCACGCACACATTCCAAACACGACACTCAGAAAATGAGATGGGATTCACCATGATTCACCATGATTCCGAATCTGTTGGCCTTTCAGATTGCCTTTTCACTTGAGCAGAGTGTCTGGTAACACTTCTACGGCCAAGCCCGACCCTCCCGGCTCCCGGACCCGCGCGTCCGGCGAAGGCGTTCGACCGGGTCGAGGCGTCGGAAGAGCTCTCGACCTGGGGCGTTCAACGGAAGAACTGGGGTGAAAAAACCACGCCTGGCCTCCAACCGTTCGTAGCGTCCTTGTTACTAGTAAGGCACTTGTTACGAACGAAGCGATGCACTTGTTCCTAGTAGCTTCTTTGTTCCTAGTAGCGTC